AAAAAAAAAAAAAAAAAAAAAGAGTTGTATGACTTGAGGTAGGTCATCTCTCTCTGTTTCACTTTCCTCATTTAGGAAATGGAAATAATAGTACCTACATCACAGAGTGGTTCTAAGAGTTAATCTCTGGAATGTAAACTGATGTTATTATTGTTGTTGTCATTATTATTATTATCAGTGTTTGCATTTTACTCTGAATTATGCACAGTCCTAACTCTAAAACAGATCAATCCAGAGAATCTTAAAGGAAACTCAGAAATGTTTTCCACATTGAAAAGTGGCATTGTTCGTTTGATGCTCCTACAGCTCAAATTTATTTGTTTTTTTCTGATGAATCTTATTGAAAGGTGAAGGGGGTGCTTTTTGCTTTGGAAAGTATTCATGGGATAATTTTATCTTCATGGAGCCATCATGTTTCAGGTTTAGCAACATTTTTGTCAAGTAATGGAGAACTGATTGAGATTAACCAAATTTCAGAAGTGTAAATTTATAAGCATGAATGCCATGTCATCATGGCATCAATCATGGAAAGGATACTTGGCCATATAACAAATAACTCTTGTCTAAATGGATCACACCCTTTCTGCTGAATAGAGGGCTAAATTACACATCAGAAGGCTGTTTGTTGAATAGAGAATTAGAGCAAAGCATTGGTCTTATGGGATAGTTAGTCATAGGAAAGTGTAGAGAATTATCTTCACTTCTTTTGAAAATAATGTCTCTAATGACTGGAATTTTATTTCTATTAGATACAGTCTCTTACCCTTGGAGGGCATTAATTTAACATTAATTTTACATCGCTCACTTTTTTCAGCTTCCCCACAGAGTAAACACCTACCCACCCTTATTTGCAGTTGCCATTACAACATCCTTTGTTGTATCTACATTACCATGAAATTTATGTGGACTAAATTCAGAGTGTCTGCTCTTTCTGGCCACTGTAATCTATTCAGTACATTGTCTCTAAATCACAATGTGGGATGATGGGTTACTACATGAAGTTTACTAGTATAATTCATTTTCTGCTAATTCTTATAGTTTAGGTTTATAGGCTATTATTGCTAGCTACTATTGCCCTTTCTTATAGGATTGGCCTCTTCTCTATTTACTCCAGTTGTTTTTGCAATAAGGAGTAGGTTTGATGATTCTCATTATCTGAAACTCTTAAATCTACCGATAATTTTCATTATTTTTTTCTGCCCTAGCTAAGAATACTGTATGTGAGGAACAACAAAAAATAGAGTACTTTCTAGTTAGTTGTATAAATCATGGATTTTCATGCAATTAGTTTAATTTAATCAATTTTGCAGATTTTAATATTTTCCATCCTCACAATGGCTCTTCTGTTAATTAATCATTAATAATATTAAATTTACCCCTGGGTAATATAATAGCTCCATGTTGTACTCTGTGATCTTGCCACTATCAACTAACCTCTAGTAAAATTAATTTTCAATATTTGAATATATGACTGAATTTGGTGCTTTATACCTACAATGTCATAATTTATTAGCAATATGTAGGCATAAAGATAGATAAGAATGATATGATAAAAGAAGATTAGGAAATAACACTCAAGAATAGTCAGAAAGTTAAAGACAGTACCATTGGCTAAGTATTGATATATATTGCTCATCAATGACAAGTTCAAGTTAGGGTATTAATAAGTAACTACATGAATTATTGTAAAGTTTTATTGATGACAAGAACCTCCTTTAGGGTTTTTCTCCATGGAAAGGTCTATATGAAATTTATTTACAAGTATGTTTAAACTGTCAAAGATCATATATGGAACATATATGTATAAACAGTTAACCATCAAAAATGTATAGTAACCCCTTATTTATTCCCTACATTCACATAATGTTTTGGCAATTCAATCTCTGAGGCTTATGAATAACATTCTGAGTCTATGAACTTATTAAATATACATGGACATTTACTGTTATTCAGAATAAATAAATGGTAATGTTGGTGTTGGGAGTCTGTTCTTCCCATGACGATTTCCTATTTTAAATTTGTAGATTCAAATGATTCAAAGCAATACTTCATTAAACAGATATTAGTAACTTATTTACTAACATATAAGGAAATATACAAAAACCATTCTAAAAATAATTGTTTCATATTTTGTAGTTAGTTTAAATATTCTGAAAAAATTCTTTTCTAGATGGAGTCCAGACAACTTTGATTATAAACTTTAAATGATTTCCCAAGTAAAGATATTGGTAAAAGTATTTGAAATAGATGACCTCTTATACCAGTATTCCTGCATGTGGAAAAATAAGAAGGTTGTATGTATTAAAAAATCTAGTAATGATCACATGCTCATTGTTCAAAAGTTTGAAAAAAATTAGGCTATGAGAAATCAAAATTTTGATGATGAGGAATTAACATTTCCTCCAACAATTTTTCTTCAGGCTGCTCTTGCCCACTCCCTTCACAGACATTGTTGTTTTGACATTACCAAAGGATGGGAAGAGCAGTGCATATTTCAAAGAGTGATTGATTAAGCATTTTTGAAAATATATGCAATACTAAAGCTATGAGTTCAAATAATTAAAATGTATCAATAGAGAAGTGAGGTTGGCAAAATATCTCACATATTCACATAATTTTATTTTTGATTCATTGATGAGAAACTTTATGCATTACTTTGAAACTGAAACTTAAAAAGATTGTTCTGAAAAGTGTATTTTGATATTTACATTTTTATTGTTGTATCCTTTACTGTTATTCAGTTAAAGTTGTATAGTGTCTTTTTTTTTTTATTGGAGTATAATTGCTTTACAATGGTGTGTTAGTTTCTGCTTTATGACAAAGTGAATCAGTTATACATATACATATGTTCCCATATCTCTTCCCTCTTGCGTCTCCCTCCCTCCCCCCCTCCCTATCCCACCCCTCCAGGCGGTCACAGAGCACCGAGCTGATCTCCCTGTGCTATGCGGCTGCTTCCCACTAGCTATCTTCCTTACATTTGGTAGTGTATATATGTCCATGCCTCTCTCTCGCTTTGTCACAGCTTACCCTTCCCCCTCCACATATCCTCAAGTCCATTCTCTAGTAAGTCTGTCTTTATTCCTGTCTTACCCCTAGGTTCTTCATGACATTTTTTTTTCTTAAATTCCATATATATGTGTTAGCATACGGTATTTGTCTTTCTCTTTCTGACTTACTTCACTCTGTATGACAGACTCTAGGTCCATCCACGTCATTACAAATAGCTCAATTTCGTTTCTTTTTATGGCTGAGTAATATTCCATTGTATATATGTGCCACATCTTCTTTATCCATTCATCTGATGATGGACACTTAGGTTGTTTCCATCTCCGGGCTATTGTAAATAGAGCTGCAATGAACATTTTGGTACATGACTCTTTTTGAATTATGGTTTTCTCAGGGTATAGTGTATAGTGTCTTAAGGCAAAAACCTTCCTTTACAAATATGTTTATTCCTTGATATCTTTTTTTATTAACTATTTTTATTAATTATTAATTTTTACATTATTTTCTCTGTTTTTGAAATGCAGTTTATCACTTCAACATGTAAGCAATAAGAAAAAATAATTGTAAAAAATTTTTTAAGTCTTTAAAATGTGTGTTATCATTTCAACAAGGAAACAATGTAAACAACAATCATTACTTTTACATTCTTCTTTCTTACTAAGTCTTTAAACTGCAATGTTTTCATTTCAACAAGGAAAATGCAATCTGTTTTCATTTCAACAAGGAAACACTATACACAAAATACTAATTATTTTTTCCATTCTTTTCTGTTATCAGATCATTGACATTTTCTATGTTACCATTTCAACATATAAACAGTAGGAACAACCTATTAATTAACTTTATTTTCTCTCAATTAGTCTTTGGAATGCAATGTTTTTTCACATTGACATGTAAACATATAAACACGTAATTATTATAACATTTTTCTTACTAAGTCTTTGAAATACAATGCTATCATTTTAACACGTAAGGATATAAAGAATTTAATGTACATTCTTTTATCTTTACTGTTTTTGATATGCAGTATGTTATCATTTCAACATGTAAACAATACATGTAAATTATCAATTAGTTATTCTACATCCTTTCTTTCTTACTAACTCTTGGATACACAGTGTGCATTCAACACCTAGGGTACATCACATTTGAGAGTAGCCAAATTTCTAGAGTTCAGAAGCCACATATGGTTAGTGTGCACCATACTGAGCAATGCAACTCTAGTGGAAGGGCAGAGGGAGCAAATACATATGCAACAATGTGTATCATGAAGGAAATATAC